CTTTCTTTCTTTCTTTCTTTCTTTCTTTCTTTGAGACAGGATCTCTTTGTGTAACAGACCTGGCTATCCTGGAACTCACTCTGTAGACCAGGCTGGCCTCGAACTCACAGAGATCCACCTGCCTCTGCCTCCCGAGTGCTAGGATTAAAGGCGTGCGCCTCTACACCCGGCTCATTAAATTTTTTAATTCGTCTCTTACTTATTATTATGAGGCTAGTGTGTGCTCACATGTGCAGGGAACCACGGAGGTGACTTGGCCTAGCTGCCTGGGGAGGCATGCAGTCATAGATTTTTCGGGTTAGAGTCCATGGCTCCTGGGGCACGCTGTGTCTTCCAGTTCCTGAGAGACAGATGCACTCCCTCAGGCAGTGAAGCGTTCAGGCCGCTTTGTGCCTCTCTGTAGTCGGGGAAGCATGGGAATTTGACGGGACAGTTGGTCTCAGACATTAATCCTGGGGACCCTGTGTGACTTGTAAGCTTCACTGTAGCCAATGCTACAAGTGAATTGATCCTGGCAATCGCTATTGTATTCTGTTTCTGATAAAGATATAAAAAAAAATCTGATTGCTCTCGATAAAACTGTCACAGCCTCAGCCTCAGTTGTGCCGGGGGCCCCTCCGACCTGGCCTGATTCCATTTCTAGCAGCTGTTATCAGGTGACCCTGGCCCAGTAAGTAAGCACAGGTGTTTACACACGTGCACCACAGCATGTGTGTGGAGGTCGGAGGACAACGTTCAGGGGTGCACCACAGCATGCGTGTGGAGGTCGGAGGACATTTAGGGGCGCACCACAGCATGTGTGTGTGGAGGTCAGAGGACAACGTTCAGGGGCGCACCACAGCATGTGTGTGGAGATCAGAGGACAACATTCAGGGGCGCACCACAGCATGCATGTGGAGGTCAGAGGACAACGTCCAGAGGCGAACCACAGCATGCGTGTCAGGGTCGGAGGACAACATTCAGGGGCGCACCACAGCATGTGTGTGGAGGTCGGAGGACAACGTTCAGGGGCGCACCACAGCATGTGTGTGGAGGTCGGAGGACAACATTCAGGGGCGCACCACAGCATGTGTGTGGAGGTCGGAGGACAACGTTCAGGGGCGCACCACAGCATTCGTGTGGAGGTCGGAGGACAACATTCAGGGGTGTACCACAGCATGCATGCGGAGGTCGGAGGACAACGTTCAGGGGTGCACCACAGAATGCGTGTGGAGGTCGGAGGACAGCATTCAGGGGCTGGCTCTCGCTTCCGTCTTGGTGAGGCAGGGCCTCTGTTGTTTCTGCCATGCTGCGTACTCCAGGATAACTGGCCCTCTAGCTTCTGGATGCTTCTTCTGTGTCTGTCTCTAGTCTCAATGTTGGAATTGCTAGTCCTGTGGAAACACACCACCACATCCGCTTTTAGCCTTGGTCGAGGTTTTCAGGGATCGGTCTCGGGTCCTCAGGCCTGTGTGGTGTGGCAAGCGTGTTCTCCCTCCAAGCCATGGCACCCACCTTTCTTTTCTTTGTTTGAGACAGGGTCTCTCTGTGTAGCCCTGGCTGTCCTGGAGCTCACACTGTAGACCAGGCTGACCTTGAACTCCCAGAGATCAGCCTGCCTCTGCCCCCAGGACATTCCCAGTGCTGAGATTAAAGCTGTGTACGTGCCACACCGCGGCCAGTCGGATTTTGTTGAGACAGGGTCTCATTTTGTAGCCTAGCTTGATCTTGAATTTGTAATCCCCTCTCCTCAGCTCTCCGAGTGCTGGGGTTATACTGTACTGACTAGCCTTCCTTCCTTACATTTGATTTTCTTTAGTCTTGTGTCATGGTGTGGAAAACTGGTTGACCAGAAAGCCAATGTTGATTGTTTCCTCACACTCCAAGCTTCAGCACACATTCCTGGCACACCCACTGCTCACGTCCCTCTCGGCCTACTCACAGTGACTTCCTGAGAGCCCCCCACCCCCTACTCACTCCTGCCTCCCCAAACAGTGGCAGAGCCTGTCAATCACACGAAGGGTCTAGAGTATCCCCTAGTCCCCCTCTTTAGCCAGTGAGCCCACTCTCTGAGTGCTCCCGCCTCACTGGTGTGGACATTATGTGGAATTGGTTATTGTTTCTATTACTGTGATAAACACCGTGGCCAAAAGTAACTTAGGAGAAAAGGGTTTATTCGGCTCCACGACCCAGTCCATCACCAAAGGAAGTCAGAGCAGGAACTCCAGGCAGGGACCTAGAAGCAGGAACTAAAGCAGAAGCCGTAAAGGGGTGCTGCTTACAGGCTTGCTCCTCATGGTTTGTTCAGCCTGCTTTCTTATGGTCCCCAGGGCCACCTGTCCAAGAGTGGTACCACCCACAGTGGGCTGGGCCCTCCCATGGCAATCTATCAAGAAAATGCCCGACAGGCCAATCTTACGGAAGCATTTTCTCAGTGGAGAGTCCCTCTTCCCAAATGACACTAGTTAGTTAAAAATTGTTATCAAAGCCAGGCGGTGGTGGCACACGCCTTTAATCCCAGCACTCCGGAGGCAGAGCCAGGCAGATCTCTGTGAGTTCAAGGCCAGCCTGGGCTACCAAGTGAGTTCCAGGAAAGGCGCAAAGCTACACAGAGAAACCCTGTCTCGGAAAAAAAAAAAAAAAAAAAAAAAAAAAAGTTGTTATCAAGTTGAAAACAACAACAACAAAACCAGCAATGCTTGTTTCTAGCCTTGGCCCTGGGTACCTGCTCTCACTGCCTGGCCTGTGTGTCCTCTGAATGTTCTGCCCTGACTCTGCCCTCATGGCAGCTCTTCATAGAGACCTCGACTACCTGTGGAATCATTACCATCTTCCCTGTGTCCTCCTGTTTACATCTGCCACCGCCCCTCCCCATCACAGCATTGTATCTCTTGCTGTCCTGTCACCAGAGGGCAAACTCAAGAAGGACACGAGTTCTGTCCCCGGAATAGGAACTTAAAGACATCTGACCGAGTCAGAGGATGCCTCAGCAGGAAATGGACAAAGAGGACTGAGAGCAGAACTGTGTGGAGTGACGACCGCTGTAACAGTTGAGTCACCCCAGTTCCTGCGTGGGATTAGCCTCAGAGCTGGGCTATCAGCAGAGATGGCCTGCTCCAAGCCGGTGTGCTGACAGGGTGGGGCACACCCTGGGTGACAGGTCAGTATGTCCGGTCTCCAGGGGTGCTATCACGGGTTAGATTTGGGTGCCCAAATTCAGAGAAATACCAAGGACACAGTAAGAGGTCATGTCCCCCAAAGGGATTCCAGAAGGATCTGAAGCTGCCACCGCCTCTGGGATCTGGACTCTCAGAGGCAGGAGAACATATCCCACCATCTCATCTGGAGATAGCCTCACCTCTGCCTAAGGCAGTCTGTAGGGACATTCCTGGGGCCAGTACTCAGTTCCCTGCGAGGGGCTGGGTCTGCTCCAAGTCCAGGAGCCTAGTGGGTGGGCTGTCTCTGCACCAGGGCTTCAACAACTCTTGGGAGCCTGCACCTGTAGTTCCCTGTCCTCCTGGTACCCCTCGATCACAAGTGGGTGATAATCTCCTGTGAAATTGGCTAGCTCAGCCTGGCCCTAAGGAAGTCAGGGAGTGTGTGTAAGGGTCTAGACAGCAATGCTGGGACTCTAGCGTTGTAGGGGCTGCTAGGGCAGGAGAGTGGCCCTGACTGGGCATTCTGGAATTCCTTGGCCTCTGAACTAGGTGAGGCAAACTCAGAAAGCCCGCCCCTTTTCATGAGGCCCCACCCACTATGGGTTCAGCCCATCCCCGGCAGACATCCTTCCTGCACTCTACAAGTGTCCCGCTCTCTACTTTGAAGGCGACTCCTCCTCCACCCCAAGGTCCAGCCCCTACCTCGGATTTTCAGCCCGCACCAACCAGCGGAGCCCCAGGGCGCCAGTAAGCCCCACCCTGAAGGCCCCACCGTTTCCCAGTCTTGCTTTGCCCTTGGCCGGGTCCCCACTGAGGAAGGAGTCCGCTGTCCCAGACATGGCTCGCGCTGCCGGACCTGAGCGGCGGCTGCTGGCCATCTACACTGGCGGCACCATCGGCATGAGGAGCGAGGGCGGCGGTGAGTCAGCGTACCCACGCCCTAGGCAGAATGGCCTCAGGGCTTGGCCACCGGGAGCTCTAGGGCTCTCTCTTGCGAGGGGGGAGGGGGAGTCGCTTCCTCCGGTGGCTGGGAGTCTGCAGCCCGGACCCTGGAAAGGGTAAGGGGCATGGTAACTCTTCCTGACCTGAAGTGTCCTGAAGACACAAGGACACAAGGACAGAAGAGGGAGCTGGGAAGACTGCTCTGTTCTGTGCCCAGGGCGCTGGGAAGGATGCTGGAACATTCCACACCCTCTAGCCTGTGAAAGAACGCCCTTAGGGTGTGCTTGCTTCCTTAGGGGAGGGACACAGGCAGAGGTGCTTGCCTGCTCTCTCTCCGCAGAGTTAGTTTCCCCAAGGTAAGGGCCAAGCTGGACTGTCCTCAAGGAGCTTGGGCACTAGGGTGAAGGTCGTCCAGGCTGTTTGAAGACTGTCCTCTGACACATCCTGCTGTCTCTGGTTGGGACACCCTGGTGAATGCCTTTGAGGACACCCTGCTAGGAGGTGGGACCATGGCCAGTTTGCTTGGCCTTCACTGGAGTGATAGACACATTAATAAGGAGCTGAATCCTGGAGGTCCAGTTACTGCCAGTGGGTCCCAGGGTACAGTGGATGCTGTTGCGTTGGGTTGGGGGCTGCCCTGAGAGGGCTCCTTGGAGAACACAGGCTCCTGAAGGGGGGTGGCTGCTGGACCCAGGAGAGAGTGTGGCCAGACTAAGAGCAGCAGCGTGCGGGGAATGAAGGACCCATGCTCTGCGGCCTTGTCCCACCTCTGGTGGCTTCCCCTCTAGGCGTTGACATAAGAGCAGTTTCAGCCCTGCTGAACTCAGCTGGAATGACCTAAGCTAAGGGACAAGTGGACTCTGACCGGAGTCCCACCTGTGTGACATTGTGCCCCACGGCCCCCGGGTGCTCCCCCGTATGGTCATCGTGTGCTGTTTCTCTAAAGCAGCAGCGGGCATGATGGGTCAGGAAGGTGAAGGAGCTGATGGCCCAAACCTAGGGCCAGTGGGGTGTGGGTTTTCCGATGTGTAAAGGTCTTCCAGACCCTCAGGAGCCTGCTCCATGCTCTGGGGTCTGCAAGGCCTGGAAAGAGATGGAGACTGGCAGGACCCTGTGCTAAAAGACCCTTCCTCGGGGTGGCAGACACCCCACCCAAGGAGCTCAGAGCGGCCAGCAGTCTTCAGACCCCTGGCAGAGGTACAGGCGGCTCCCAGGATGGCATCTTCCGGCTCGAAGCTGAGGCCTCTGCTCCCCGGACCAGCTGCTTCTCGAAAAGCCAGCCCAGGCCTTCATGGGACCCCACAGCCTGCAGCCACTGGCCTTTCCCTCATCAGAACAATTTTAGGGAACCCCGGGCTTAGTCCCCCCGAGGACTGAACTGGAAAAGAGGTCTGGCCTTCGATGACCCCCTAACAGGATCTGCTCACGTGAATGAGTAGGCAGTGCTGGGACGTGGAGCCCGGGGTCTGCCTCAGGTGTGGCTGAAGCCACCTGTCCTCCAGATACATGGATGTGAGTTGGCACCTCGATTTTCTGTAAAGGGAAAAGGTTTTCAGGGATGGAGCAGAACCCAAGGCACAGCAAGCTGGGAATACACCTACGCCTGCACCCTGAGACTCCGGCATGCCCCAGCCTTCTGTGTGCCCTGCTGTGGGGGTTGCTGAACTGTGGGCTGTGGGCCCTGCCTGCCTTGGATGGCCCCACTGGCATGAATGATTAACCAGCTTGGCCCTGCTTACGTGGGTCCTGGCCCCCGGTGAGTAGGAGTGGTGGCTTCCGCCACAGAGAAGCTGTTTAGATTGTCGCTGTTGAAACAGCTCGTGTGCCTGCTGGTAAACAGTGCCCAACACTGTGTGACCAGACCCGCCGGGGTGGAGAGGGCAGAGGTGACGGCACGGCTCACCTCTTCGCCACCCCTTCCAGGGTTCTGTGAAATGTCACAAGTCAGAAAACAACATGTGTCCAATGACCCCAAGCCTAGAGCCAGGTGTGCGTCGGTGACACCTGGGCACCCAAGGACATCCTGTGTTAGCTAGGGTGCCCCTTGCCTGCTGCCCTTGGGAACCATTCCTCGAAACCGCCACAGGGGGGCTGAACTGCACAGAGTAGCCAAGGTTGCCCCTGCCTAATGGTCACAGTTGGCCCCAGCATAGCCTTGCCAGTTGGGATGATGCCCAGTGTGGCAGCTGCGCAGGCCAGGAGGTGGTCCCAGGGAGGGTAGGACTCAGCATCCCGGGGTTGTATGCTTTGGGGGTGCCCTCCATGGGGAAAGAAGGCAGCTTCCCAAATCAGAGTCGGGAGTGAGAACCAGTATTAGAACACTGAAGGTGATCACAGCAAAGTCTAGTTTAAAAATGTTATGGAACCCAGAATGGGCTTATTGGGGAGCTCCTGTCTCCTGTGCTCCTTGGCTGTTTCCGTCACACACACACACACACACACACACACACACACACACACACACACACACACACACACACACACCCCTTGTCATATGATAACAAGTTTGTGGTTTCTCTCCAGAAAAAAAAGCATAGGAGAGTACAGCTTTCTCTGGGCCAGTTTTGATGCTTCCCAGGGCCACCCTTCAAGGCGGGGCTCTAAGGATCCGTACACGCTCAGTACAGTGTGCCAAGTGTCCCCAGGAGCCATTGCCCGTGGTCAGAGGCAGCATGGACAGGAGAACTTTGCCTTGCGGAGGTGTCCATCAACCTCTAACCTAAATGCACCCGTCTCACCTTCCCTGACGGGGGACTGCCAGGTTTCTATGGATACTCCGGTGCCGGCTGCTGTCAGGGAACTCAGGGAGAGAGTGGAGGTCTGGGCGTCCCGAGGCTGCCAACCAACCAGCGTTGAGAGCCTCAGGGTCCGTCCCTCCTTCTGGAGACAAAGTTTAAAGTCTCAAGGCCTTGACAGAGAAGGCTTCCTGCCCCTCCACCTCCTGGTGGCTGCCAAGATCCGTGGTCTGCGACCACGTTCCTCCCGTGTGTAACGGGACAGCACCGCCATTCTGTCTGCTGGGTTGTCGGGTGCTCACCCATGTGTGCCACTCCCCTGCCTACCCCTCCTTACAGGGACACGCAGGTGGCCTTTAGAGCCACCTGGAAAACCTGGCATCATCTCTCCCTCACAGGATAGTTGACATAATCATACCTCCAAAAACCTTGTCACAACAGACAAATGGCACAGGTTTCTGGACTAGGATGCTGGGTGGCTTGGGTGGCTCCTGAATGTGGAGGCGGGCTGATGTCCTGGTCACGCCTGGGGTGGCTTTGGAGGCCCACGGGGCTGACTGAACATGCAGGGTTCTTCTGTTTTCTGTCCGTGAAACATTTCCGCAAGCGACATCCCCAGCAGCAAACCACACCCGATAAGTTTTAGGGACTCTGTGCCAGGCCAGGGGGTGTGTCGGAGATAAGGGGATGCCTGTCGAACCTGGGGGCATGCAGTGGTGGGGAACAGCTTTGTCAGCTCCCGAGTCTGCAGGGCTCCTGACCTGCACCCGGGAGGCATGGAAGCGCATCTGATTTGTGTTTTACTTGTGCCCATGATCTCAAGCATGCGGTCCAGCGGGCAGCACAGCGGGCAGCAGTGAAGGGCTGGCGGGCAGCAGCTGGAGCTGCAGGCCAGCTGGACAGGGGGAAGGGATGACGTAACTGTGGAGGAGGGGCTGGCGGGGGTCCTAGGGCTGGCTGGAGTGCTGAAGTGGCTCTGTCCTTAGACTTACCCCAACAACGAGGATGTAGCCAAGAGGACTTGGGGAAGGTAGGCCCCTGGTCAGGTGGTAGGCTGGATGCTTACCGTGGCTGGTGCCGTCAGGATGATGCAGGTACGAACCCTGCTGGAGTCTGCTACTCCACTGAGGCCAGTAGGTCTGCAAGCTGCTTAAGGGGGCGCTGCAGGGCCGAGGCCTCACCCTGGTGCTCCTCGGCCTTAGCTGCACGTTCTGGGGGTGAGTTACTGGCAGCTTGATTCAGGCGTGGTGTGGGGTGGGGAAGGAAAGCCTGCTCCCCGCTGGCGCTGACCAGAGACAGGGGATCCTCCCCAGGGTCCTCAGAAGTATCATGTCCTTACAACAGCACTTGTGAGTACGGGGCCTCACGGCAAAGGGGCTCTGCAGATGTGACCAGAGAAGGGGCGAAGGGGGCCTGCCTTTGAGGATGGGGCACAGGGGAATAGTTGGGAATGAGCCCCGTGGACAAAGGTCCCTGGGCCTGCCGTGTGTGAGACTGATTCCCCTAGTCAGGGCTTGGCTGCAGAACCTCTGGCAGCAGGCACAGCATGCCCATCCGATGCAGCAGGCACAGCATGCCCATCCGATGCAGCAGGCACAACATGCCCATCCGATGCAGCAGGCACAACATGCCCATCCGATGCTGCAGGCACAGCATGCCCATCCGATGCAGCAGGCACGGCGTGCCCATCCGATGC